CCGGAACCCGTCGGGCGGCCGAACAGGCACCTGCCTAAGATTATGACGTCACATGTGCTGATAAGTGCATAAGGTGGTATTAAAGGAAAATGGGGTTATATGGGACATATGTAAACTCCTTGTTGAGAATACGTCGCACAGTTCAACACGCGTGTGTTACACCGTGTACTTGTGTGTGTTACGCCGTATACTTGTGTGTCAGAATGCCGATGGGCAGTGGAAAACAGCCGAGGCGATAGCCCGGCATACATGTACTTCAGAACAGTGATATTGTGTTGCATGTGGGCTACCCTAATGGGAAACTCCAAGGATCGGTAGCTGTTCCCGGTCGCCAGGAAACGTAGGGTAATGGCGAGTTTTAGGCCTGCTGGCAAGGGCTGTCTGGCTCTGGATAGAATTAAACAGAAGTGTTACATACAGACTGGACTGTAATATCTAAATTTGCTGTTATTATATAACATTATGGATACATTGAAATGTGTCAAGAAGTAGAGGGCATTCATAAAAAAAAGCACTTGCTCCGGACTTTTCTCGATGGATGGGCCTACACGTTGTAGGGGGTCGTGAAACATCTATTTAAAGTCGCAATGATGGCAGGCAGCGTAGCGCTTATATATATATACCGGCTTACAAACACGACGGGATCCCGCCAGGGACGCGCCAGGATCCTCCCTGGACCCCGCCAGGGACCTGACAGCTACCCGGCCGCACTGTAAGAGCCGGTCGGAACCCTACCGCAAGCCGCACGGGTCACGACGGGAGACTGATCGGACACCGGACGGGTCCCTGATAGAAACCGGCCGCCAAGGGGACCAAAAGTTTATGAATATTAATTAGCAGCCGCCGGCCGGAGCACAACCAGGCCCCGACAGGAAGCCGTAAAGGAACATTTAATTGTGACCCTGACAGTCGGCGCACGCTCGGCGTCATGACGCCGGCCGGCGTCTACACCGAGGACATGCCGAACGGGCGCCGTTTCAAATGTGACCTAAGCATAACGGAAGCAAAATTTTCACGGCCTGAGAAAAATGGACATGTTCACGGAACTATATATTCACGGTGGTGACAGTTGCAGGAAAAAGAAAGTCCAGGAATTATTTCCTAACTGTAATGATAAGTTCACAATACAGAGGTGACAGTGAAAACCGTGAACATTGACCCCCCTTGCGTTGCGGTACAGTGAAAAAAAATCGGGAATTACAGCAATCAATTTACTGAGTATGTTTGCTTAGTTTCCAGATGTTTTGTACTTGTAGTTTTTAAATGAACGAAAACCGATGCGCGCACAGATGTTACTTTTGTGACAACATCAAAGTGATTTTGGTTTGTATGTTGAAAAAATACAAAAGACTAACATTCGAAGTTATTGAAATTCTTGAGTAAGAACAATCAATTTTGGAATGTTAAAAGCAAAGCAATGGATATTAAAACGAAAATGTTAAAATTAAATGTTGAAATTGTTAAAATGTAAAATGGTTAAAATGGTTGAAATTGTTAAAAATTGTAACAAGAAGCCATAGGCGACAATTCTCCGTGAAGTATTATATATTGCAACAAAAAGAAGTAGCCATTGGCGACAATTCTCTGTGAAGTGTGATAAATCGAACAAAGGAAAATTGTTTGAACGCGCGTCGGCTCAGTCATCTTAAGACGCAACAACCAATCAGAGATGCGAGACGCCTACACGTGACGCGGGAAGGGCGCGCGATGCCCGAAATATTTTTGCGTCAATATTCAGCGCCGTGATTCAAGAGATTAATACCCGGATACAATTTTTTCTTGTTTTGAACGCATTAACATGCATTTACACTAATCTAGTATGATTCAGGGTTACTTTTTTAACCTGCCATGGCCAGATTATCTAAAGATGTGTGTATTGTGTGTACAATCTATAGAAAGAGAA